GGGAAAGAGAACATAGAAATAGCTGAAAGAAAATTTCTATACCACCTCTCCAGAGAACCTGCTTGAGGCAGGTTACTAAGTAAAGCATAAAAACAGCATAAAATCATTAAAATTAACCCACAAAAACCCAGCATGAAACATCTTAAAATGACTCTCCTAAGACTGTTCTCAGACTAGTAGCAGACTGTGAAATTGATTTGAAAATATCAGCCCCTTAATTAAAAGCCTAGGTAAAAAAGAAATGTTTGGACCTGGGTCCTAAAAGCAGGTAGGGTAGGTGCCAGGTGAGCCTCAAGGGGAAAAACCCTGTCTCTGATTGCTCCCTGCCTCACTTCTGAAGACAGGGCATACCGAGACAGCCATGGGAGGAAGGCCTTAGCTGGTGGGCTGGTAAGTTTGCCAGCCTCCAGGTGAGCCCTGGAGAGCTGCCGGAATGACAAATAATCTGCAGACTGCTGGCAGATAAAATAGTATATAGTGAAGAATGTCCTCTGGGACTGATGCACCACATATATAAGAACATAAGGCCAGCGGTATTTGAGAGTATCTCCCCGTGAGTAGAGTCGTTGGCATTGTCTGAAAGCATAAGGAAGTAAGTGCCTTTCTTAGATTTTGAGATGTGATATTCACCAGGTAAAGAGATCTATCATGATCTCTTTTGAATAACTTAAACCAAGGGGAGAATTTGGATCTAGAGATTGTAAAACTGTCCAATAAAGTGTCACATTTATAGATCCAGTTTCGTAAGTTGGTGCCAATACTGAGAGCACCCAACAAATTGTCTGGAATAGAATAGCAGGCAAGTATGTTGTTGTAACATATAGACCAGGCTGTTTCTCTACATGACATTAGCTGAAAGCATTGTTTGCTAAATATGTTGGTAAAGGCAGTATTACCTTTATTCCAAGATTTGAGTGAAGCAAGGTGGACGTGAGCCCTAACTGAGAGCATACCAAGTTCTGTCCTCATTAGGGCTGCAAGGGTCCCCTTGGGCAAGGCAAGGAGTCATCTGATGAATATGTTTTGAATTGATTCCAGGCTGGAGATTATATAGTCCTTCAAGCCCCAGACCTCTACACGATAAAGAAGATGGGGGATTGCCTTATGAGTAAATAATTTTACCACAAGGGATCTACCTTTGGTGTGATAAAATCTCAGAATTGCACCTATTATATTTTTGTAGAAGCTTTAACAGTATCCAAATGTATTTTACAATTTAAGGCCTCACTGAAGGTCACTCCCAAGTATTTAAAAGAGCTGCATTGCTCAATAGCCTTTCCATGAATACTCCAAGAAAACTTTCTGGGCCATTTTCTAAAGCCTTGGTCTTTCTAAACCTTGGTCTTCTTATAGTTTACATTAAGAGTCTCCTCTTTACAGTATTCACCAAGTTGGAGTAGCAGCCGTTTTAATCCAATTTGGGTAAGAGAAATTAAAACCATGTCATCTGCATATAATAAATTTGAAATCTTCTGATGACTAAATGAGAGAGTGACAAACTTGGGTCCTGAGACCCTATGAGCTATATCATTTATGTACAGGTTGAAAAGCAGGGGGGGGGCAAGAACACATCCCTGCTTAACCCCCCTAAGGATTGGAATATCATTTGTCAGGGAACCTGAAGTGCCCACTCTAATCTTGGCATAAATATCTGTGTGTAATTCCTGAAGAAGAAACAGCAAGCGTTTATCTATATTCGTGTTGGCTAGCTTCTTCCAGAGGTGATTTCTATCTGTAGAATCAAATGTGGCAGCCAGGTCTACAAATGCTACAAAAAGGGCTTTGGTGGGGCCCTCACTGGCACTTGGCTGTCCCACAACAGGTAGATTTACATAATAATTATTATATTTAATGATATAATAATTCACTAGCTGCATTCAAACAGGCAAATCATTCAACTCCATCTTCCACCCAACCAGGAATGAGCTTTAAACAAAAAAACCAACCCCATGAAGCAGGCATCCATTGCTGTTATGCCATACAAAGCCTAGACCTGGTCATCCTTTCGCATGTCAGAAAACATCATCCCATAAGGATGGAGGAGACTATTATCTGACTCAATTATCTCAGTTATAGGGCACCAGAAGAATACACATCCATGCCCCTGCTAGCTACCATTTGAAGTAACCTTTGAATCAGTCTCAGCAAGTTGCATTTTTCACACCAGTTTTTCACACCAACCCAATGAATGTGTTCAAGATGGAAGCAGTCTTTCTGGCTCAAGGATGGTCCCCCTTCCCCTGGTGAGATTAGGCTGTAGTAGATGAGCTATGTTATATAAAGATAAACCTGTGAAAAGGGTGTGTGCATGAAGGGCTAGCTGCAGCCCCCTACCCCCTTTCCTCTCCTGTAAATACTGCCCCTCACCCCTGTCTGTCCCCACCCTCACTAAGCCCACACTTGCTGTTTCTGGGCAGCCAGAATGTCTCATTTGCACTGTGGCATGCTGGCATCTGTGATCTTCTAGGAAGGCTGTGGGAATATGTTTGTTAGAACAAAAGCTTTAATTGCTGAATCTCTCTTATTAAAATAATAATATGAGAGCCAGTGTGGTGTAGTTAGGGCTGCCAAGTGGGGGCAGGGGGCGGGTAAACTCCCGCTTTGGAGGCCCGATTTCCGCCGCCGTGGAATCGGGCCCCGGGGGGGACTCCGCCCCCCGAAGTGCAGTGTGGCTGCGTCACCAGAGGTGACGCAACCACGTCTATCACGTTGGGGGCGTGGCCCCGATCGTCGGAGGGAAAACTCTATGGTTTTCCCTCCGACGATCGGGGCCACGCCCCCAATGTGATCGACATTGCGCGTCACTTCCAGGACGTGCTGGCGGCACGCGCATCGGAGGAGAGCTCCCGGAGCCCGGCGATGCTCCCCCGCCGGTATGAAGATTTGAGTTTGCAACCTAGGTGTAGTGGTTAAGAACAGCACACTCTAAACTGGAGAGCCAGGTTTGATTCCCCACTCCTCCACATGAAGCCTCCTGAGTGACCTTGGGCCAGTCACAGCTCTTTCAGAACTCTCCCAGCCCCACCTACCTCACAAGGTGCCCGTTGTGGGGAGGGGAAGGGAACGTGATTGTAAGCTGCTTTGAGACTCCTTAAGGTAGGGTATAAAAACCATAAGGTAGGGTATAAAGTGAGTATAAAAACCTACTATTCATCATATGCATTGCTGTTATAAACCCATCCAGCTGTGGTTACCTGATTTGAATTCTCCTTTAACAGATGTAAAAAATACATGGTAGTCCTGATGGATTTGGGACTAATATCTAACAAATAAAAAAATACAATTTTTATTGTCTTTCATTTCTGCCAGTTTTGTCGGGATTCTATCAGTGTCAGTACACTGTGAACTGCTTGCTGCTTGAACCAACTCACACAACTCTTTGCTAATATCAGAATCAGCCTCTCTCAGCAGATGGCTGCTTCTTTTATTCCATTAAGGGAGAATGATACATGAGCATTCCTGTTTCTTGCACTGGTAAAGCTCAAGAGGTCAGTGTCTGCAGCAGAGACTGCTTGGAAGCACTACATAAGTCTAGCAAAGTTCCTCAAAGGAAAACCAGGACATAGGTGATATAAATAAAATGTTAATTAAAAGCCCCAATAGCTGCTTTCAACCAAACCAGCCTCGGAAAGAGGTAATTTGGGGATGCTTTATTTTTTCCTTGCCAACCATCTTTCTGCCAGAACGCCATTCCCTCCCCCCCACACACACACACACTGGGTACTTTTCTTCCTGCAGGGTTCCAAAGAAGTGTTTACAAAGATATCAAAATATTTGCAAGAGATCTCTGCACCACCTCTGTAAGCACCACCTGTCACTGTTTCTGCACTGCAAAATCCCTCTTCCAAAGATGCTTTAGCATGTAAGACAACAGTGTCGCAGTTTTATTACTTGCCTTTGTATTTGCCCTGATAGGCAAGTGCAGGAACAGAGCATTCTTTCTGGTCCCTTTCTGTATGAAAATCTTGTGATGTCTACAGCGAAAGGTGGAAGAATGGCTTTGGGGATTTCATAGAAATAGCTCAGTGGTGGATCCCAAGGACCATGCCAGTTTTCTTCCTCCCAGAAGGAGCTTGTGTGCCCATAAGAGCTTCAGTCCAGATTGAAGCCTATTTTCAGTCACTGGGCCACAATCACTTGGTGCTCTCTTCTAACACTGGCTATAGTGTAATTGTGCACACTCTTGTACTCTGTAGTAATGGCAGGTAGATTGACCATTACAGGAGAGGGGGTAGACTGGACCTTTGGAGCATCTCTCAAATATGGAAGTGTTAAGGACAGAAGAAACTCATCTGAGTGAAAACCTGAGAAGCCTGTTAAAAATAAAATCTGTTACTAAAAAAACCCCAAGCCCTTGAGAAGCCTGTGATAAGGTTCAGAGTGCTATGACTTATTGTAAATTTCTACCCTATCCTGCAGGCTCAAGACAGAAATTGATGGTTAAATAATTAAGATACATGTAGTAACATAGAATTTAAACAAAGTCTTATATCAGTAATGGGGAAAGGCCAGACTTGAAATTTGGTTAACCTAACATGAAAAGTGCTCAGAACTCAAGAGCAACCACCAACAATGTTTCTGTATGCTTTGTGCATGAAGGGTATGGTGATAAATATGTTCCATGCAGACATTCACAACTATGATAGAACTGAGGGCAGGAGATGATCCTTGAGCACTGGCGGAAAGTGGTTTGTACAATCAGCTGCTACATGAGGAAACTTCAGATTCTGAGCAGCTTACTTAAGCACCCAAATGAGGCCATGGAAATGGTTATAACAATCTGGTCTCTTCTCCTAGGTAACCACAGTCAACAAGACTGCATCTTCTCTCTATCGTTTACAACTACCTTAACTTTTCTGTTTCTACTCTTGCCTGTTATTTTGTGTTCAGTGCATGGCCACTTATTAACTGCTGTATATGCATGTTGATTACATATGCTGGAATATTGCTCTTCTCACATCTCTGGTTCAGAACCTATGACATGTCCTTGGTTTTCAAAGCCTACCACCTTCGCCGGGAAGAAACAGATTGGTTTGACAAACCTCGGGAGTCTCATTTGGAGAATGGACATGGCTTTGATAGAAGGCTACCAGACAAGCTAGCCCACTCAAGACCACCAAGCCAGCATCAAGATCAAGTAAGAAGGCTGTGTTTTTAACCAGTGGTTTTCCTTAATGCCAACTGATCAGTTTACCAGGGTGAAGGCCATCTTATATCTAATTCGGAATTTGGCCATGGAGGGTTTGCGGGGGGGTGTCTATTTTTTAAAAAAGAGGAACGGATGAAATGAATAAAAATTATAAATCTCAGGTTCTCACTACGTTACGACATGAGATCTTGGTGAAAGGCAAAACTGAAGTAGGAGAAAGGAAGGAACATGGAACAAAAGGTGGGGGTTGAAGGGTGGAAAGCCACAGGGGCTGCCAGAAGAGGGAGGGCAGGATTGAACTGGTTAACTTTTGATGGTACTCTAAATCCAGCTCCCAAATTCTCCAGCCCTGAATGCCAGGCACCACCTTCCCACTGTCAAGTCTCATGACCTCTAGCCAAAGTCACCTGATTGCACTAGCACCTCAAGTCACCACTCTAATCAGTCCTGTACCAAAAGTTTTGAGGCTCAATTTTCCCTGGGAAAAGCTGACACAATAGATGAAAGAAAAGCTGTTTTCTTTTCTTGCCCTTTATTTATTGCCCTTGTTCCTTGAACTGTTGCTCACTGAGCAAACAAAGGCAACCCTTCCCCATTGTCAAGTGAGCTTGGCTTAGGAATGTGTGTGCCATTGCTAGTAATGCGGTACAAATGAATGTGCACCCACATCATACCTCTGAATGAGCATGCTATTCCTCCAGGGTGCATTACTTTCAATGGATATGCATTCAAGGAGTATCAGCCCAATGGCTTCACAATGGGGAAGTATTTCCTTTGCCCTGGAGCCCACCCATTTGCACCCTTTCACAAAATAGGGCAAAGACCAGCCCCAAATCTGTGCAAATATAGGATGAGCTGAAAATACTGGTGAAACATACAATACTTTGGTGACAATAGTTTTAAGCAAACCAGTACAGAACCAATGTGATTTTTATGTAGAAAATTTGTGTGCCATCTCTCCAGATCTCCTGGCAGCTCACAACTATTTATTTATTTATTGTATGGCAGAGTTACACACAGGAAGCATATAATAATAGAAAATACGTAACCATCTTGATACAATGGATATGCAGACCGATTGGGCAATCCCCCAAATACTAGTATCTAAATTGTCAATCCACTCAATTGCTGCTGGGGAGCATTCAGAGAGCTCCATCACATCTCCCTGGAAAGCACGACACTCACATTCCTGTGAAAGATGGAAAATAGTTTGGCGGGCTGCGCCACAATCTCATTCAGGTCCTGGTATTTTGCACCATTTAAACAACATGTCTGCACAACTGCCAAAGCCTGTTTGTATTCTATTAGCCATCTTCCATACTTTACATGGCAAATCAAATTCTTTTCTTTTTTTTAACTGCCCCAAGGGGCAGAATTTTATTAGGTTTTTTCATCCAAATGCAATTCTGAGGGCCTATTGTTGGTGTTTATCTAGTTACGGATATCAGATTGAACTGATTGCATCCATGTTTGCAACCATTCATTCCTTAGATCAAATTTTTTTTGATTGCAGGATTTATACAGCTCTTAATGCTGGATGTCAGGATCTTAGTCTGGATAGGTCCACATCAGCCATGTTTTTGTGGATTTGCAACTCTCTGTGTTCAACGATCTTTCTATATTCATGAAGAAGAGCATCTTGTCTTCAGAGATGCAGGGGAATGATGTGGCACAATGTGGGTAGCCAATAGGTTGGAGTGGGTTTAATACATCCACTGATGGTTCTCATTGTTGTATTGAATTGGACATCAAGTTTGTGGACATGGGGGCTGTTGAGACACACTGAAGCACCATATTCCACAGTACTATACACCAACCCCAAAACCTGAGCATCTAATGTTGTAGGAGACGCATCCCAAGTTGTACCTCATAATTTTGGGGAGAATGTTGTTTCACATGCATGTTTTCACTGCTATATTATTAAGTTGGTGTTTATACCTGTCCTGTCCCGGGAAATGCCAAGGTACTTAGATGCAATGCTCCCTCAAAGCTGTGAGGTCTTGTGAGCAAAAATTCTACTTCATGAGCTACTGCCATTAAAGTTGTGAGCGAGTGATTTGGCTACTGCATAAATTAATTTGCTCTGGAGCCAACTTTCCTGAGCGAAGACAAATATGTGTGAGCCAGAGGCTAAAAAACTGTGAGCTAGCTCACACTAACTCAGCTTAGAGGGAACACTGCTTAGGTGTATGGTTGCTTGTAAGTCAGGTGTCATTAAGGTAGACATTCAGTTCACGGTTGGTAAGATTGTTATTGAGATGGAAACAGGAGCATTCTGTTTTTCCTGGACTTGGGACAAGCCACCATTTACAATTTCTTTCAGTTTAGTTTATTGTAATTAGCCATTGGCTGTTACATTTACAGTAGTAGTCAGCCAAAATTTTGAGGTCCCTAGTCAGTATTTCCTCAGTCCTTTCAATTGATTTGTGACTTACTGCAATCCCCATGTCATTGGCATAAGCAAACTTTGTGGAAATTGTCTCAGGAACATGAGAGATGTATAGATTGAAAAGAACTGGAACAAGGACTGAGCCCTGGGGTAGACCATTATTCAGTTTCTTCTGCTGGCAGATTGACTGACCCATAATTACTTGAAAAGTTCTATCGCTCAGCATGTTATTTAGGAGTCGAAATAATGTTCTGCAGGGGAAAACTTGTAAAAACTTGTACAGCAGACCATCCCTCCAGACTGTCACAAGCAACAGTCAGAGTGATGAAAACTGCTGATATCTTATGACACTTGTGATACCCTGCCTCAATGAAAGTTGTTACACTGAGAACCTGGTCTTCACAACTACAACGGAGTCTAAACCTTGTTTGTTCTATAGGGACATGTTTATTAATTCTGTCACTGCTTCTGTTTAGGATAGGGTTGCCAAATGGTACTCACCTCCTCGGCGGGGGACTCCTGGGGACCTCCCAGTGCGCGTGCGTGCAACGTATCTACGTCACCCGGATGTGACGTCGCACACTGGGGGCGGGGCCACAGCCATTTGAGGGGGAAACAGAGTTTCCCCCTCAAATGGCTGTGCCCCGCCCCCAGCGTGCCCGGTGTCATGACGTCACTTCCCTGTGACGTGCATGCGGCGTGCGCGCACGTGCCAGGAGCCAGCACAAAGTCCCCCGCCAGCAGAGGTAAGTCGATTTGGCAACCCTAGACCGACTACTGGAGAGTCGATAGTTCATGCAGATGTTTTTTAAAGTGTTGCTTTGGCAAATTCTTCCTATTATCATGATGTCAGTGAGAAACTGTGCAAGCCACTTCTTAGTGAATGTGCCACTGTTGATCAAAAACTCATTATGGATGCAGTCAAAGCCTAGTGCCTTTCAGCTCTTGATGGCCTACAGTGTCTTTGAAATCTCATAGAACTGGCTGCCAGGCAATTGTAGGATCTCCTGGCTACACTACTCATATGGAAACAATCAAACAGTCCTTCTTAGGTCTACTTGACAAGGGTGCAGGGGACTGCATCTGAATCTGCCAAATGAATATTGAGGGTGTAAGCAAGTCTAAATGCCTGTGCATGTTGCGAATCTTGCTGGCCAATAAAATAGCTCTTGTTCAAGAAACTCAACTTGATAACAAAAATCAAGCCTGCCACAGAGCAGCTCACAACAATAAAACAAAACAAAGCAAATAGACAATAAGAACAAATCATAACAATAAATAATATTAATTTAAAAAATCCAAGTTAATAACATAAAGCAAATCACTAAAAATGCCCGTAAAAGCCACCAATTAGAATTGGGCCTTGGCAGTATCCACACAAGAAGCCACAGGCGTCCAGAGAAACATAAGAAGACCAATGTTCCATTTATTCCAGCATCCTGGCTCACACTGTGACCACTTCGTTTATCTGGAGATCCAGCAACAGGGCATAGAGGCTGAGGTCTTCTCCTGATGTCTCTCTTGGCACTGGTTTTCAGAGTTTTACAGTGTCTGAATTAGTGCCTCTGAACGTTTGTGATGAACACAGGAATCAGGCGTTTGGTCCATCAAAGTCAGTATTAGGGATGGGCATAAACCAGCTCATGAACCAAAGTTCATGATGAGTTTTGGCCAGTTCGTGGTTTGCAAAGTGAAGTTCATAGCACATCAACCAGCATGAGCTTTCTATGAACTTTTAAGCTGTTTGTGGAGGTTCAGCAAGTTTGTGAGTGGATAATTTTCCAGACAGTCTCCTCTCAATCACAATGTTTACATAACTTCAAAGCAACAACTTGGAGGGCATGTAGAGGAGCATCTGGGGGAGGTTCCCTGTAACTTTGATGTAAATAGCTGGCACAGGATCCATTCTATGCCCTCCTGAACCCCCTGAACCTGTGCCTGTCAAAATGACTGCCTATCAATGGCAGAAAGCACTTTCTATTAAGGACCGAAAGTACTTTCCTGTGGGCATGTTCTTGGGGGTTCAGGAGGTTCATGAGGTGGTTAAACATTTGTGGTGGTTCATGGTTCGTGAACTGGGCATGCCACAAACTGAACCACATTTTCCCTGTTCATGTCCATCCCTAGTCAGTATTGTCTACTCAGACTGGCAGTGGTTCTCCAAGGTCTGAAGCAGAGGTTTTTCACATCACCTACTGCCAGATCTTTTAACAGGAGATACTGGGGATTGAACCTGGAACTTCTGCATGCCAAGCAGATGCTGTACCACTGAGCCACAGATGCATTTCTTGGATCATGTGGTGCAATAGATGAAGCCATCCCTCACTTAACTCTGTAATTTTTCAACTTTCAGGATGCACAGGTGGGTTAGGAAGCTAACTGATTTGCATACTACAGTCACTAGCATATGGACCAGTTCCAGTGGCAGATTCCCATGTTGGAACATTGTGTTATGTAACAATGTCATGAATATAGTTTGTACGTAAGCTGCATCTTGCATGATTGTAAGGGGATCTCCTTCACACATTTAGATTTGTACATCACCCCATGTCTGGAACATGTATTTGGTTCAATAGCAGTGGCTTTTACACAATACTGT